GGAGTATGGAAGAGAACCATACAGAAGCAGGAGACCAGTTAAGAGGTGTATAAGAAATCCAGGCAAGGCAAGAATTGGCAACGGTTTGGACTAGGGCAGTGGCCTCAGAAATGGATAGACATCATTGTGTAACTTAGACGTAGAAGCAATAAGAACTCCCCAATAAATTAGATATAAGAGGTGATGGTGGGAGGGACTAGGGACAACTCCCAGATTTTTGACTTGAAGAAATGAGTGGAAGGTAGTAGAATTTTAAAGGAAAATTGATAAAGGGACAGGTTTTGAAGGAAAAATCAGAACTTATGTTTGAAAGTTTAATTAAGGTGGAGATGCCCATGAGACACCCATCTATGGCTCTATCTGGGGTCAAATTAAAAGTTTAGTAGATAAAGGGCAACATGAACCCTTCTATTTCTTCTGGCTTTTCCTAACCTCAGTGCTCATATTTATAGCTGTGAGAAATAAAAAGGGTTTGAAAACTTGGTTCACACATCATACTGTGTCAGGAATTTTCACTGAATAGTAAACTGTAGGAGGTTGAACTTGGGCTTAAATAATGAGGATTTATTTTTTCAGCATCTTTAAGAATATAAGCTTGACAAGTCATTTCTTAAGTCAAAAACCATGAGACAGGTGGGGATTTAGCTCAGTGGTTCTGCCACCTGCCTTGCAAGCCCAAGGTCCCGAGTTCAATCCCTGGTACCAAAAAAAAAAAGCCAAATGAATCACTTATTACAGGTCTAGTGTATTAGTGGTCACAGGTACACAATTGATCATAGCATTCTGGCCATTTGTACAACCCATTAGTGGTTACTCTATCAATCAATGCAATACAAACGATAGCTGAACTCTGGTCATTATGCTCATGAGATACAATGATTTTTTTTTATTTTCTCACCTCAGAATTGCTTTTAATTTCAAGAATCATACTTCCAAGATTTTTACATTTCTCTACCCATGAAACCCACTTTTCCCACGGTAAAAAAACTACTTCCGTTCTAATATTTCATGGCCCCAAAATGTAACATGCCTTGGCATCAAAAAAGGGCACAGTCCCTACTCCCTGCATATCTCGCATGCTACATCTGTTATCTCCACATCATACTTCACACACTAGCAGCGTACAAATAAAAAGTGGATAGGTTACCAACACCCGGGACTTGGGTCTTACTGACACTCTTCCTTATCTGCTCACTCTGATTAAGCAAGTCATCCTGTTGGGGGCTGCTTTATGAAGAGGACTCCATGGGGGAAAACAGAGGGAAGAACTGGGGTCTCAATCCAGCCACCCATGAGGAACTGGATCCTGTCAACAATCATGTGAGTGAGCTGGGAAGTGGATCCTTCCTGGTCAAGCCTTGAGATGACTGTGACTCAGAGCCAGAGGTCAGTTCAGCCACCCCTGGCTTGCTGGCCCACAGAAACTGCAGCAATAAGTATGTGCTATTTTGAGTCATGTTTAAATTATTTTGGGCTAATTTGTTACTCAGCAGTAAATAATTCACTTGCCTGGAAGGGTGGTTATAGGAGTAAAAAGAGGTAACATGAAAAGTATCTAGTAAAACACCCAACACCACAGAAGTCAGAGTATAGCGTTAGCTGTGTTCTTCCGCCATGTCTCTGTTTCTACTATCACCACCATGGGCTAGGCACTCATGGCCAGTTCCTGCAATAGCTTTGCTAACTGGTTTCCTTGCTTTTCTTTGTTCAGCTGTTTAACTTCTTTAAAAACAAACAAAACTGCAACAGCTTCCTGTCCCATAAAGACCACTGATCTGTCCCTATCTTGTATTTCCAAGCTTAATTCCCATGATGCTTTCACATCTCTCCACTGCTCTAAAATTCATCTATTCACTCTATTGCAAATATAGTTCACATATCCGCATTCTAGTAACCTTGCTAATTTTTACCCTTTTCACATTCATTCCCTTTTCTCCTGAATTACAAACCACCACTCTCCTTACCCAATCACTATAGGTAATATCACTAAGCTTCTCCAAACCTCACTAACCCACAGTGGTCTTTTTCTTCCCCTAAATTAATAATATTTATTTATTTGATATTCAAAATCATTTAAATATAAAAGGCAGAATAAACTTCAGAAAGCGTTGGGTTGAAGGATTCACTTTACGTGTAAAGAAACAAGGTTAGAAATGAACATAACTAAATAGTTAACAGCTCTGGGACTAAAATTCAAGCCTCACAACATTCAGGTTATTCAAGTCTAAAAATATTTGTGCAGGAGGGAGAGAAGAGGGAAGGGAAGGGAATGAAAAAAAACTTGGGATGTGTTATGCACACATACCAACTCCCCACAAGGAATGTAATCTTTATGTACTACAAATGTGCTAATGAAAACTAAAAATTGAAAAAATTAAAAATATTTGCCAGCTGCCTACTATGCATGTAAGGCACTATAAAATTTCAATAGTTTTTTACCAATATGACATTCATTTACTTAATTAAAAAAAAAATTAGGAAGGGCCAGGGATTTAGCTCAGTGGTTCCGGCACCTGCCTCCCAAGCACAAGGTCCCGAGTTTGAGCCCCAGTACCAAAAAATAAGTTAATTAATTAAGTACTATTTACCAGATACTCAGAACAAAGAGGTTTCCCACAAGGAATTCACAATAGCAAGGGGGGAAAATGGGTAGAGTAACAAGTACAATATGTTTGAGATGAAACTGTAAAGGAAAAAAGAAGAAAATTACCTATACGCTATCTTTAGTCCTTCTAACTATTCACTCACCTACTGACTCATTTACCTGAAAAGATTAGATGGATAGATAAAATAAATAAACTTCTTACTCTCTTAGGGACAGAAAATAGAAAAAATGTTACCCTGAAGCAAATCGGGGGGGGGGGGGGGTGGGACATGTAAGTATTACCATTTAAAATGTTTTTCTAATACATCAAATCTGCAAGATTTGGTGTTTATAATCTGAAAATACATATATTGTCCTGGAGTCAGAAAGTCCCTAAGTATTACAGTTTACAATTTATTTGCTGAGTGACCTTAAACAAGTAGCTTTCTCTATTTTAATTTTCTTATCTTTAAAATAGGAATAATACATACCTTGTATGGTATTTATGAAAATTAAAACCTTAAGAAATAGTAGCTATCCTGGTTTTCATGTAATCAAAACAAAATAATAAAAAAGTTGTATTTAATAACTAAAACATTCAATTTAACTTTTGCATTGTCAAAATTAAAAATATAATTCCTTAAATTACTAACTGTCCAAAATAAATCTGTTCCATTGTAAACTTTTCTAGAATTGTAATCACTGCATTAGTCCTTTTACTATATTCAGGCATCAATATTCTGAGAATCCATTATATAGTAGTTGCCATGTGGAGAGAAATATAAAACCCTGTATTTAAGTTTAGAATATAACTGAGAATATAGAATAGCTCTTTGTGCAAAGCAAGCAAATACATTCTTGTGGATTTAGTCACAAAGATACCAGAAATGAATGCCAAGATTACAGTTCAACTTGCACAGGTAAGTTTAATAATCAGAACAAAGTGAGGCCCAGGGATTTAGCTCAGTGGCACCATGCCTGCCTCGCAAGCACAAGGTCCTAAGTTCGATCCCCAGTTCAGCACAAAAAAAAAAAAAAAAAAATCAGAACAAAGTGGGGTAAAAGTTAGGAAAATTTTATACAGGAAATGCTTTATAGAATAGCAGATACCTTTTATGCTAACTAGTTTAACAGAGTTTAAAATGTTTTAAATGGTTACTCGGCAATCTTCTTAGCTAAAATTATTTAAGTGGCCATAACATCCAGGATTCTAGACAAATATATACAAAAAGTAGTTTACTGATATTCTATGAAATGTTCAATGTGTTGTGCCTCACTAGCAATTCATAGTTCAATAAACTGGAAAACTGCCAAGAATGTGCACTAAAACAGCATTTACATCAATCTTTATATGTGTATCAGTAATACATTGCCTCAGATGATCTTTGTCTAATTTTCACTGACTAAAACTGTACCTTTAACATACTCTAGAAGAAGTAATCAAGGGATTTCAATCTATTTAGAAATATACTGAAGGGCTGGGGATTTAGCTCAGTGGTGCTGCCACCTGCCTCGAAGTCGGAAGGTCCAGAGTTTAATCCCCAGTACCAAAAAGAAAAAAGAAATACATTGTCTCCAGATTTTATAGTCACCTAAATTTTATTTTTATAGGATTCACCTACTGTATATTGCATAAACATTTTTACCATTTATATTATACCAAAAAATATGAATACTGAAAATGAGATAACAAAGAATACAAAAAATAGATTTATTTTGTTTTCAAATAATTCCATACCAAAACGTTTTGCTGAAAATGATTTTTAATCTGTAGATAAAAGATACTCCAAATGATATTCAGAGGGTTTGACATATGCATATATCCATATACCCACTCAGTGGCAGAGTATGTATGTGAGGCCCTGGATTTGATCTGAAGTACCATAAAAAGAAAAAAAAAGATATTCATGATATATCTGATTTTAAAACAGACAAATTTATAACAGGCCTTAAAATGATTTCAATAAATCAGGCACTCTACAACACAAAATACAGGTACACAAATTATGTGGTGACTGCTTCATATTGTAAGAAGACCAAGATCTTTTTCAAATATGGAAAGAAACTAGTCTTTTTACAGTGTTAATCCCTAAGAACTATTCTCCTTTATAGATTACAATATTATTGTCGGTTTCATATACTTTTACTTTATAAAGAACTCCCACAGGAAGAAATTTCTGGAGGTTCTCCCAAATATATACAGCTACATTTTCTGTTGTGCTGTAGAAAAAGAGTAAAGAAGTTCAAAATACACATAACAAAAAACACAATTTCATGTTTAATATTTATGGAAAACAGAAATTTTAGTATTAAAGGATATAGTAAACTATAACTTTAGAAATCACACAGTAATCTGATAAAATGTTAGATCCAATTCTTTCTTATTCTCTATGTAAGGCAAGATAGTGACACCCACCTTACGACATCTGCAAAGTATGGCACATCCAGATCCAGGTTCTTGTGATCTAGGGGCTTTATAATTGCCTCCTACAGATAATACAAAGGGAAAAAACCATTGATTCCATTTATAACTCAAATTCCAAAAGGCTCCACCTAAGCCTCTCAACCTTAGTATCATTTAGCTATGAACTCAATACTAGTTAAGTAAGTATTATATCTTTGTATCTGTATAAAACAATCTCACAAGGTTTAAAATCAGGCCTAGCTCCCTGTAATGATTAGTTATTCTTGTTACTGAAAAAACTATGGAGGAGAATTCCTACAGCTTTCTTGAAATACAAGCCACTGTGACTCAGAATTCAGTTTCACACTTTTTGAATTCTGTCCCAAAGGTTACGAGAAACATTTCCACAACATTCTTACCTACAGAATAATGCCACAATATCATTAGGACAAAGATCCAAACTGAGCACTATATTTTATAAAAGAGAACTTGAGTAAAATTACATATGTAATTCTAAATTTCTGCTATGAAGAATAATTTAAGAACAACCTTGGGCTCTGAGCAGAAAAAATGTAAATATGTAAAGACTATTACTTCTTAATGCTTATATATATATTAATATAATGTTTCTTTCTTTGTTGTTAGCAAGGATTGTAACTGCTTTCTTTCTAGGTTTTTACTTTTAGCTCTTGTACAAAAATCTAAACATTTATAAAACAATCAAATAGTCCATATTTATGCTTTTAAGTAATAATAATAGAGATCATTTCTTGAGCAAAACCACAATCATATACAGAGTAAATCTTAAATCAATTAGTTTTTTAAATAGGTCAAATGAAGAGATGTCTCATGTGAATATCAAGAAAATAAATCTTTGCTTTATCTTCACACTTAGTCCTGGTCCCAACATCTCCACTGAAGCCTCTTCTGCAAGCCTGTGATTTCATTCAAAATGCCACGAGCCACTTTTAGTAACTGGAGTGCGGTGTACTTCAAGTACATGAAAGACAAAAAAGCCAGAGCAAACCCCTCCCCTAGTATGCTATATAGTGGCTTGAAAGCTCTCTAGTACTGCCTTATATTTTGTATTTATACTTTATGCCCCCAGTAAACTCAAGAACTGTCTATCTACCTTCCTAAAGTTCTTTGAGCACAGTGCTGTTTGCTTATTCACTCATTCCCTCATTTATTCAACCAACAATTTTTGAGCGCTCGTTATTTTTTTACATCCTTGAAAAAGTAACACACATAATCTGTGGGCTATGGTTCTCCATTTCTGTATTCCTAATACTTGGATTAAACAAACTGGTGCAAAGCAGGCAAATTTGTTGACTATATGGATAAGTAATAGGAAAGAAGTAACAATTATTAACATAATTTTATGAAACATCAAATTTTATAGTAAGAGTTGCATAGCTGAAGTGAAGAACTAAGTAAAAGGCTGAAATGATGTCATAACAGAAAGAGCTGGATGGCGCGCCTACACGCAAGGTCCTGAGTTTGATCCCCAGTATCAAAAAAAAAAAAAAGAGCTGGATGGGAAAAGATCTACTCCCAGCTTTACAAAAGACTAACCACATGACCTGGGGCAAATTAGTTAACTGTCTGGCATCTCTCAATTGTAATCTATAAAATGAAATAACTGATTTAGGTAATCTCTTCTAACATCTCTTACAAGCCAGGCATGGTGATGCACGCCTATAATCCGATCACTCAAAGAGGCTGAGGCAGGATCACCATAAGTTCAAGTCCAGCCATGGATACACACTGAGTTCAAGGTCAGCCTGAACTACATAGTGAGACCTTGTCTCAAAAAACCAAAAATAAATAAATAAAATTTCTTACAATGCAAGAAGTTTGTGATAATACAATCAGTTAGATCTTTATTGAATACCTGTGTGTTACTTCTACAATGAACTATCCCTAAGACCCAGGGATTTAGCTCAGTGGTTCCGCTGCCTGCCTCACAAGCGCAAAGCCCTGAGTTTGATCACCAGTACAAAAAAAAAAAAAAAAAGATGGTATTAAAAATCTATTATTAAAGGCACAAGAAATATTCAGAGAAGTAACAGAAAGCTTCAAGGAAAAAGCTATGTCTTGAAGAAAGAGTAGAACTTGTTAAATGGAAGAAATCAGGATATTCCAATAAGGAATACAAGGTGATCAGGGTGTATTTCTCCCCATTGCTATAACATATCTGTGACTACTTTCCATTATGAAGCCCTTTAGAAGGCCACAAGAGTAGTTCCTCCAACCAGTCTTCCACTCCCACACCCAACTCCACTGATAAAGTCATGGAATGTCAACAGATAAAACAACACTAAAAGTTTACTGAGAGGACAGCACATGACAAGCACCCAATATGGCATTACCTCCATATATTTTTTTAGGTCGGTCAAATTCATAACCATTCCTGTAACAGGATCAATCTAAAGAAGAAACAAGGATGAGTAACCCTAATAGACTCCCCATATTTAAACTTCTGGCAAATTATTAGAGGCTATACAATGTACACATCGTGCCCACATAAGTCTTCATCCCAGAGACAATCATCGATCTCAGCACAGAAATGCCATGTGCTTCAGGTATCCCTTTCACTGTACAGCTTGTCCACCTGTGTATACACAGTCCATTAGAGAGAAAGGAGAGGCCTAGAATAGCAGCAGCTCATCACACACAAAGGACAATGAAGCAAATGAAAGAGTTGGCTGAACGAGGGCACAGCAATCTAAACAAAGCACACAAATATTTTCAGCACATACCTCTCCATGTACTGTCACCACAACTATGGGAAAGAAAAAAACATGCCATAATTTTGGACAAATTGAAAAGCCTGTATCAATAATAATTTAATATGTTGCCATCTTAAAACTAAACCAATTACAATAAAAATCATAATCCTAGAAACAGAAAAGAATGGTGACTCAGGACATATCAAAAAGTGGGACTAAGCTGAAGTTCTTTTTCCCTCTAACCTTTTACACTTTTCCAGCATACTTTTGGGGTTATGATTTAGTTTATTAAGTAGTGTTTTCTTTTAAAAACAAAACAATGCCAAGAAGTTCTTATGCCTATTCAGGACTACTATATAAATAAATTTGTTATTAATACAAAAGTGAAATGAGTTAACATTTGACCATACTGATGTTTTTGTTGCCTAAAAGCACTGAATACAAAATGTTATATAAATCTGAGATTTCACCAACTTTAAAATATGAACTTAAACATTTTATCATATTTAAAAAATAAAAACCATTTTCTTAAAATAGTGTGGTATAAACTTTAATGTAAGAGGAAAATTAGCTCATTTAAAATTTAGCTAATTTTTTAAAATATGAAAATATTTGTAAAGAAGAGAATTTCATTTGCTTACCCTATGGAAATGGGAGTAGCAAGGAGGTTATCTTTCCATGACATACTGGATTTATTTTAAGTTTTATGTCACATACTTGCATATCAAATCATAATCATACTAGTAGTTTATCGCACTGTAAAAGTAGGGTTTCTCAGCTGTGAGACTATTGAGATTTGGGGCTGAGTAATTATTTGTTGTGGAAGGCTGTTCTGTGCACTGTAGGATGATTAGCAGCATCCAACATCCCGGCCTTCTGTCTCCTCAATGCTAGTAGCACCTCCCTCCCCAGCAGTGACCCTCAAAATGTCTCCACACATTGTGAAACCTGCCCTGGTGGGTGAGCATAATTGCCCAAGTTAAGAACCACTGGAGTAAAACAATGAGTGGCAGAATAATCTGATCACTTTATGAATCAAGCTATGTACATATTTTGATCACCACTTATAAATACTAAACCTAAAAGTAGCATTTTCAAAAGTAGTGTTTTGAGGGCCGAGCATTTAGCTCAGTGGTTTCGCCGCCTGATGCACAAGCACAAGGACCTGAGTTCAATCCCCAGTACCAAAAAAAAACCTGATGTTTTGTTTTTGTGGTCCTGGGGATGGAACCCAGGGCCTTCACACTGAGCTACATCCCTAGTCTTATTTTTTGAGAGGGTCTCACTCAGCCTTGGTTGGGCTTGAACTTTTGATCCTCCTGCCTTAGCCTCTCAAGTAGCTGGGACTACAGATGTGTGCCACCATTCCTACCTCTGGTGGCTTTTGTTTATCTTTATAGTAAAATGTGTTTTTACATTATGATGTTATGCTTATTTATGTATGTATATATGTCATAATGATAACTTGTCAGTACATATTATATATATATTATTCATAATGTCATTTGTGAGCCACAAAATTGAGTTCATGATCCACAAATAAATTACTTTTCATAAAAAAAAAAGTCAAAAAACATGACTTTCAACAGATAAACATCCAAGCACAAGTCAGCAATATGAATCATTAGGTCTCTAGCTCCCAAAGTTATACTTACATTTTCCCCCCAAAGTTTGTCCTTTTAGTTAAGATCCTTTTATCTATCAAAGCAAGACAACCAAGACAGAGGACCTTAGTTAGTGGGTGCTTTGGCTAACTAGAGGAAATTAGCCACGGCCAAAAGGTTATAAATTCTGCTTACAATGTTGATACACAGGGAGGATCGAGCAGCTGTTCAATGTCTACTTGTAGATGTAGAAAATGGACAGGAAGGTGTCCAGGAACACATAAATTGGCCCGATTCTGGACAGTACCTTATAGAACAAGCAAACTACTGCTGGGCCTTAAAACTCTTCTTCTTTTACTTATAAGAATACACAGTTTACAGTAATACTGTATAAAATAATGCTTATATGAAGCATTTGAAAAAACTTCATTAGTAACTACAAATTAATAACTTCTACATATTTGTATTTTTTTCAAGTCTACACAAATACCACTAGGTATTACATGATAAGTGAGTATCTTGAGATTAAGCAGTATTATCATAGACAAATTAAGAGGGAGTAACTAAATAAGAAATCCTGACCTTTTGATAACTTGCCTGGTCTTTTTTTTTTTTTTTTTTTTTGGTACCAGAGATCAATCTGCTTTCAAGGCAGGCAGCAGAATCACTGAGCTAAATCCCCGGCCCATTGCCTGATCTTTTTTAATGCCACCACACCACATACCTGTTTTGTGAGGCATCAGCTGTGTCCCAAAGAATCAAATCTCTTATTTTTACGTAAATTACAGTACTTACTTTCTTAGCAATCCAAACTAATTTTCTGCCATACAGTACATGCCAGGCAGTAGTCGCCTTTTGTCAGTCATTATTTAGTCAAAGAATAAGTCTAGTTTTTAAATTTTGATTTTGCTATAACGTTTCTAAACTGTATTAACCGATATATAAAAATTATATATATTAAAGGTGTACCATGTGATACATCAGTACATGTGTATATAATAAAATGTTTAAATCATATTAAACATATCTCTCTCCTCAAACACTATATTGCAATTTTAATATTAGTTTCAGTGATACCCAATCAGAAGGAAACACAGTGCCAAAATTTTTTTTATTATATACTCTAAGGCCAGGGGAAAAGTTTTTGACACTATTCTTTGGCTTAGACTATCTATAAGAGAGCAGACAATTATAAGGTAAAATTTAAGACACATGCAACAGAGTTTTTCACTTTGAACTTCTATTTAACTTCTCGTTCCAGTTTAAAGTATTCATGCTGTCCATAAGCTTCTTACTCATTAAAACTATATTTGCTAAAGACTCTTAAAATTTCATCAGTTTTTCTCTCACCTTTATAATTGTGCCCATGGCCATTTGGATTGTTGCATTTCCCAAAGAGTTTCAAGTTTTCCTCATTACTCAGAGATTTGCTGGCCAAAAAAGGGAAAAAAAAGTCGGCATGACACAATGTCATCTTTAGACACTTTTTCTTTCTTACATTTATTATTTCCTCTGGTCTTTGAATGGTTTCAAAATCTACTATTACGTTAACATACCAAATGGAGAAATCACTTTGATTTCATTATTCATCTACACATAAGTAATCAATGTATGCTTCCCAATTTCACTACTATACCATACAAATTAGCATGAATAAACCTTAAATTCAACCCCTTTGCTCCACCGCAAGATTCCAACTCATCCAATGGTCCCTTCATTTTTCAATTCAGCAAACATTTACTGAGTACCTACTATGTAAAATGAAAGTGCACAATAAACCCAAGCGCATATAATGACAAACATGAGGATATCTGTCCTCAAGCAACTTAAAATCTCATTTCCTCTGAAAAATAATTACATTACCTCAATGTCTTCTTTTAACAGTCTCGTTCCACTCTGCCTTAATCAACTACTGCCTACTGAAAACCTTACCAATCTGAGGGATATTCAAATTAGGCAGAATTTTAAAATTACAATTGTTAGCTGTTATTTCACACAAAAACCAATGAGTTTATCTCTACCTACCCAACCAACTTTCCATCGTCTGAATCCTTACCTCCCTCTACTTCTCAAACTTAGCAATCATTCACAAAGCTTTTGAACAAAAGTCTCACCAGCCCCTCCACAAAATTGAACACATTCTAAATTCCAGATAGGGGCAGTGACTCGTGTGTGTTGGTCCCTGCCGAAACCCTGTCGCCTAGCATAAGGCTTTAAAGCACAAAATAAACCCTTTTTCAGTAATGAATGGATGAATACTGATAGAAATTATTTTCCTCATTTTACAGAAAGGAAACAGTTTCGAGAGTGGCGCTTGCCAATGAGTAGTGAAACTTCTCAAAATCAACTCATTTCAGTCACCCATCTCAGGCTACAGGGTCAAATGCCAACTGTGCTACTTGCTACTTGCTTCGGAAACTGACCATCGAGGCTCATTTCGTCACTGGTCAAAAGGGGGATAAATGTCGCCCTTCCCTGCTGTAATTATATTACATACAGTAGCTCAAGTTCCTGGCGTAAAAGTCTCAGCTAACGTTTACGAGGCTCCAGTTGGCAAGATTAATTCTGCTGAACTTCACAGAAGTAAACTAAGCGACTCCAAGACAACAGCTAGGAAGCGCAGGTGTGAGTTCGAACCCAGGTCAGCCCCTACGCAACCAGCCGCGCTAACCAACACACCCCACTGCTTCCCCGGAGTTCGACTGCATCTATCAGCCACCGCTTTCCAGAAGCCCGGCATCACCAGGTGCCACCCTCACCCCGGGGTCCGCTGACGTCACCCCTCCAGCACGGCCCCACCCTCGGCAGGAACTTCCGCGCCTAGCCACGCTCCGGTCCCGTCCCCGCGACGTTTCCTGCCGCGACACCTGTGGGCACACCTCACCTGTGCAGCCGATGGCTCGCGCTGAACGAGATGAGGCGTGACACTCGTGCCCGGCGGCGACCGCCCGGGATCGCCGCGTTCATTGTCTCCAGGCGGCGCCAGGAACCCGGTGACTCCTGACTCCTCCTTCCTCCCTCTGAGAGGCCGGGAACTGTGCTGCCTTCTGCGCCTGCGCAGAGCGGGCTCGCGCGCCCCCGGAAGCTCTCCTTAGTCCTGGAGTTCGGTCCTCCGCTTGGCCGGCCAGGGCAGTGACTGTGATCCCTCATTGTCTGAGTGTCATAGGATAACTTGAAACAATGTGTGGGGAGTTAGAGGCTCAGCGTGAAATCATTCCATGAGTTTAGATTGGATTTGGGCACGTTTTGTGTCCTTCAGTGGCCTCTTTGCGCCTTCTCTCCCACTCCCTATAGAAAACCCTGGGTTAGAATAGAACTGAAAGCTCCGAGATCTGAGGGCTCCTATCAGATGAGCACCAGGGCCACCGTGTACTTACAACATAAAAGGAGCCTGAATCTGAGGGCACCTGTAGAACCACAGGGCTTCCAGAGATACTACTACTTTCGGACTATTGTGTAATGATTCTCACTAAGGAAAATTCAAAAGCCATCCTTAGCATGCACAAGTATGCATGGGTCCATCTATCACTGGGTTGGCATACAGTGAACACATGGGCCCATGGACACACGCATTAGCATATCTTGGGCCAATCTAGACACCTTGGGAGTAAGAGGACCTTGTTTCCTCACGTCTCACAAAGATGTCAAAGCTACTTTAAGCTTCCAGTACCCTGTCACTCTTGCCTCCATTCCTTATTAAATATGTATTGGGTCTATTATGTAGTTGGCACGATTCCAGGTACTGAGGAATATAGCTTACGTTGTACAGTACTGTATGTGAGAAAAATGAAGATAACACAAGTCAGTAATCAACGGATTAGGAAAAATTCTTGTACATTTAGAAAAAGAAGATAAAATCATGGGAGTGATAGAAACATAGCCCCAGTGGAGATTTCTCTCAAATGTCTTCTGTCTCTGGCTATATATTGTGTACATTCTGCATTAAATTATTGTTGTGTAGCAAACATTCGTCACACATTTTCAAATGTCTATCCCATCTTCCCCATTAGGCTGTAGAGAAAGGATTTAAAAGACTTGACCCGGGTGTGGTGGCACATTCCTGCAATCTCAGCACTCGGGAGGCTGAGGCAGGAAGATCGCTGCGAGTTTGAGGCCAACCTGGGCTACATAGTGAGCTCAAGGTGAGCCTGAACTATGTAATGAGACCCTGTTTCAAAAAAAAAAAAAAAAAAAAGAAGAAGAAGAAAGTGAAAATTATCAGAGATTTTTGGGATAAAGACTTATAGTTCAATCCTTCCACTTTGCATATTAAAAACCATAGTCCCAAATAAGTAAATTACTTTTCTAAGATCACTCCTAATAGAAACAATATTTCCCAGATATTGACTAAATCTGAGACACTCTGTAATAGTGGTTACACGTTTTTCAAAAACAGTTGAATCAAATACAGAAAGGTAGAAAGAATTTCTGAGAAATTGCTGTAATTAGTAAAATGTTGGATTGTAATTCTTGCTCTAAATTATTTTATTAAATCTAATTCTACACAAGGGTATCAGGGTTCACTAGAGGAGCAGATTTAAATATACATATATATTCCCCCCCAAGTAGGTTACCATGGCCACCTGTAAAATCTGGTGGAGGGATGCAAAATGGCCATCTGCATGCTGGAGATTTGGAGGATCCAGTCAAAAGTCGCAGGCCTGGGACTCACTGCAGAGTCTGGTGTGAGTCCATGTCAGAAACTGAAGGGTCTGCATTGGAAGGCAGAAGAGTCTGTTCTGAAAACCTGAAAGAACTGGAGATGAACAACCAAAGGCAATGTCAAAGACTGGAGCTCCTCTGAAGAAGCAAAAAGGAAGACTTCCTTCTTCTTTCCCTTTTTATTCCATCCAGGCTACAAGCCTATTGGTTGGTGCCACTCACATCTGGGGTGGGTCTTCCCTCCTCGGTTTGTGGCCTACGTGCCAACCGTCCACAGACACACCTAGAACAGTGCTCCACTAATCTACTAGGCATTTATTAATCCACTCAAATTGACAACACAACTATCACAGGCACTCACCAAATTGACCTCAATGGTCATATCATAAGTTGAAGGGAACCCTCCTCCAAATTCATAGGTTAAAGTTCTAGTCCCTAGTACCTCCGAATGTAATTTTTGAGAGGTTGTTGCAAATGTAATTAGCTGAGATGCAGTTATTAGGGTAGGCCCTAATAACAATATGACAAGTGGACTGTCCTTATAAAAAAGGAAAACATAGGTAAGTATGGTAGTACATAACTGTAGTTCCAGCTATTCAGAAGGCTGAGATAGGCAGATAGCTTGAGTCTAAAATTTCAGAGCCAGCACTGAAACATAACAAGACCCAATCCCAATAAAATGAATGAAAAAAATAATACATTTTTTAAAACTTTGACACAGAGACAAATATAGAGGGAATGTCATGTGAAGATAGAGACAATACCGTCTACAAATCAAGGAGAGAGGCCTGAAAACATCCTTCAGAACCCTCAGAAGAACAACTTTAATTTCAAACTTCTAGCGTTAAGGCCAAAAGCCATTTAGGTATAATGTTTACACATACAACATTTACTGGCTTTGTGCTTGTCTCCTTTTCTCAGAAGATTACCTTCTAATTAAGAAGTCCCATAAAATATTTGAATAAACACATATTGGTAAAGTAGCCCTGATAGCCATCACCTTCCAGTTCTTATTCACTCATTAAGTTAAAAAAAATATTTACACAACATCTAAGTGCCAGACACTCTTAATTGTTGAAGGTATAATCATAAATAGCAAACATGCAGTCCTGTCCTCATAAAGATCAATTTAGTGGGAAGTCAAACAGAAATAATACCATGACAACTTAAAGACTAATTCTGCCTCAGAAGGGAAAGGAAAAGAAGAGAGGGGATGAGTTTTGAGCTGAATTTTAAAGGAGTTTAAAGGAGATGGATAAGTAGGAAATTCTAGAAAGAAAAGCTAGTATAAAGGAAATGTGGAAAAGTGCAGCTTGTTTAGTGCATATTGACAAATTCTTGGCTACAATGGGGAGCAGTGGGTGAGAGATTATACAGGAAACACTGATTAACAACCAAATTATAAAGGGCTATGAATGTCACTGTAAGTGTAAAAGAAAGAAGGCCCTACCCACTTCTCATCTGCTAGTTCCTTTCCAAGAGAAGGGAATTTTTATCTGCTTGAACCTTATTTCTGTGCACCAAGACAGCCTTGTGTACTCCCAGGTGAGGTTACAATGTGTGAATATATTGAAAATGATTGTGGCTTATTCTCTGGAGCTATGCTCACAGGAAAAAAAAAAAAAAAACTGAGTCCAAACTCCCTGCCTCAAGCAGTTGTGGCCACCTTGTTAACATTCTATTCTGTTTCCTGCCTTCCTATGGTAAATTGACCCAAGTTCTACCCATCCTCTCTCCCTTTCCCCTCCCTTGTGCACTACACACTGTTTCTTTGAGTCACTGGATACTGGCTCATAAGAGTTGAGTTTAGGGAGAGAAGAGGCCTGTCTTTTAAGCCTGTGTCATATGTTCACTAAGTTTTACCAAAACATAGACTGCTAGGCACTGTGCCTAGGTTATAAAATGCCATCAATCTTTTCTTTTTCCCCCTGGGCAGGGTAGGGAAGTGGGGATCTTCTTCAAGAACTTTACAGATAGCAGGGTCAAGGCAGAATTCAGGCATCCTTGGGTCAGAAATCTTACAAAAATTATGCTCACTTGTGTATGTCTGAATTTCACTCCCTGTGCATTAAGATAAACGTTTACAAGTATAAACAGGAAAGGTGCCATCAGTTCTTTGTGATTTCCAGAGGTCAACCAGAGTATCCTTCGCCATTCATGTCCACATAAGATAGAATAAGCCTCCATGTTTTATTCAAGGAAGCACTAGAACAACTTTCAGTAACTTCTGTGAACTATCAAGAAACTTACACTCTCATGGTTACCTTAGGCTCCATGCTCTCACATCTCTATACTAGCTCTGTTTAGACATCTTACCATTCTAAACCTTCTGTTGTATTTGGTATCTCACAAAACTAGACATGGGACTTAGTCCTTTTACTTTTTTTTTCCTTTTTTTTTTTGATACCGGTGATCAAACTCGGGTCCTTGCACTTGCAAGGCAGGCAGCAGAACCACTGAGTTAAATCCCCAGCCCTACTTTATTTTTTCTTTTTATTTATTTTTTATTAGTACATGTTTGTAGTACATAATAACGTTCATCATGATTTGTAAATGTACACAGTACACCCAAATTTTTTTTGTCCCCTTCCCTCCCCTCCCTCCAACCACTCTTCCCCCTCCTGGTTGATTTACAAAAGTTCTATTACATGAGAAAATGAAGCTGTATACCAGGATGTTTACTGTCACAATTTTTGTACTAGGGAAAACCCGAAACAACTTCAGTTCTCATCCCTTACAAGTTGCTTTTCATATTTTTGCTGTAATTTTATTTGGTTATTTGCCTTATTTTATTTTTAGAAACTCTAAGTCAATTTTAGATATTAATGTTCTGCCTCATAAATATCACAAATATTTTCATCTGAGCAGCTGATTGTCTAACTTTTCCATGTTCTTTCTCCACTGCAATTTTTTTCTCTTAATTCTGATCTAATGTAATTTAGCCATTTTTGCCTTCTCTTTTATGTTTCACTTTTAGGATTTCCTTTCTTACCTCAAAGTGCTACATATATTCTCACATATTTTTCCTTTATTATCTTTATAGTTTTATTTCTTTTGATATTTTTCAAATACCTGGAATTCTTGTTTACATTGTCTTTCTTGTAGAGGGAAAGGAGCTCTGTTTATAATTCTTTTAAATCACATCTTATTTAATATGACTCCTATTTGGACCATGATTCCCTTGACAGATTTTGTCCTGGGTTTGCTGATTGCATTCCTTTCATTCTTGTAGAGAGAAAATAATGTAGATGGCAATGAATCATTTTCTTTCAGCTCTATTTCACAGTGCTTTATTGCCTGTTTTCTTTGCCCTCCTAGGGCTGGAACACTTCAGGAATTCTGTTGGACTGATTTTATCTTCTGGCCTTCTTCATGATCTAGATGGTAGTATCCAGGGATCTATTTTCCATTTGCTTCCAATAAACAGAATGCGACATAATGGCTAATTTTCTAAAATAAGGATTCATAATATTTAAATACACACCTTTAATATCATTGTAATGGGACTATAGAGAGGGGAGTTAAATGCATGTGAGTAGTCCACTATTTTCTAAAAATCTGCACAACTTTTTAATGTTTTCACTATACTATCTCTTAAAGTCAATCGTATTTATGTGTTCCTGCTAGGAAAAAAATCATAAAATTTGTTTATGCATTTAAATAAAATATCTTCAAGTTTCAAGTACATGAGAACTAATTGTTCATTAGCAAGAAGCAGCTTTTTCCTTAATTATATATCCTTACACATTTTAATTAGGATTCAGTTAGACTTTTTATTTAAAACTACTCATCTCAAATGTTTTAAAAGTGACCCAACCTATACCTCTTTTAATAGCGATTCATATAGCTAGAGGAAAATGTAGAATTAGTTAATCTAAGGTGTTTATACAAATAATTCAGATTGCATCTTCTGAACTTCTCTTATCCATCTTTCTCATGTTTTCCCATTGCTCCCCATTCACCTGTGTCAGATTCCTCCATCTATACCTCTGCTGAGGATAGTGATACCCCGGCTGACAGCTACCACTGGTATCCCTGTCCTCATCATGAGAGACACTGTTTAACATAAGCCACTTCAGCTGCCAACCACTGTTCTGCTTTCTCTACTGACTCTCACTGTTGTAATCAAGGGCATAGGAAGTGACACCTTGACTAGCTCAAGTTACCAATCTTTCAGCAAGTTTGAAACCGATCCACATTCATATAAAACTGGGACATTGTCACTGAATAACTCTTTCAAAGGACAATATATCATCTTTCAAATTTTCACTCTTCCTTCAAAGCATAGCTACCAGACTGTTGGCTCTTTAGTTTGCTCATCTAGGCACATGTGTATATCAGTTGGGGAGAAAGAGGATAGAGGGATTTCAAAGGAGAAGCAGGAGAGCTGAAAGATGAAATTGTTCTACCATGCTAGCCTGTACCTGGTAACAACCTCAGCACTGACATCTCAAATGATGAAAGGAAGGGACAGGGAGAGCTTGAAGTGAAGAAAACATGAGAATACAAACAAATTCTTGCTTGGTCAAGTTGGATTGGAAATTAGGGCCACCCATTTTAGCAGTATCTTTTTCCTTTCTGCGGCTCTTTTAAATTTTTCAACAGTATATTTTTCTTCTCCATTTCTCAGGGATTGGAGGAAATTGAAGGTCTTCTCATTCTTCTTGTTAGTTTATAGAGGTTTTAATCCATAGTCAGCTAGCTCTACAGAAAGGTGGCATGGCTGAGGGGTGTCACAAAGGAGAAATACTCCAACGCAGGGTAGACAGGCAGCAGCAAACAGCAGCAGCAGCAAGTGACCTCTTTTACTTTATTGCCAGAGTACAAACCCCAACACAAGGCATTTGTATGTATGGAACACTTCACTGAAGATAACAGAGTTTATAAAGTCTGAAATAACTCTTTAAGGAAAAAATGAGAAGAAACTGATTACGTTGATTTGGGATGTGCAGGCAAACCGAACCATGAGTTCACAGATACTCCAAATTACATATCTGGGTTCCTTCTTTAGCAACAGTCAACATGCAGAGGGAACGTGGACCGTTTGGGGAGTAGGTTTTGTGGGTTACTGAAGGAAAGGGGAACAAGGAAATTTAAGGGAATTGGCTAGGGTGTGACTTAGTGGGCCATTTAAGGCTCCTGGTAAAAACTGTTGTTTTGAAATGTGATCATATGGTCTCTAGTGCCACCTGTTGCTCAACTAAATGAAGAACTACTGGCTTTACATCAATCCCTAAAGAACTACACACCTAAAGGTTTGAAGAAATGCCTGATTTCGGTGATATCCCTCAAAACAACCACCTCCAAAGGCTAAGGGAGAGGTGGGAATAGTAGAAGATGGTCTGTGGGAGTGTCAGGCAATTACAGTAGCACCTGCTGTATACAGTAGAGAAATACCTAGGTTAGAGAAGGCCTCCAAGCATGACAGAGCTGGCTTCCTGCCTGTTGAGTACTTTAGGACCAAAGGATGTGATGGAAATAAATTATTTTTCTGATCTAGATTCTAAGCCTATCTCTGGCCATTTGTACATCTTCTCCCAGTACCTCTGTCACCCACCTATCTGATGATAATAATTACCAAATTCTAGCTTTTCTTTCATATATTCTTATTATTACCTAGAGGAAAATATATCTAATAAATATACATTTTAAACTGTCTTCAAAATATTGTATCAACACTTGCTTAATTAAATCAAAGAAAAGCCCTAAAAATCACTTGGGTCAGGGGTGTTGCTAAGTGATGAACTGCCTAGCACATGAGAGGCCCTGGGTTCAATAAATAAAAAAGAAAGAAGGAAAATACAAAACCATAATTATCTCACAAATTTTATTTTTAATAGAAATTTTAAAACTAAGTATCTATGATTTGAGAAGCAGGGTTCCTTTTTGTGATCTTTTTTCACAGAGTACACTTGTTTTAAACCTAGTTCCTGGACCTGTGGTTATCTCGTCACATGGGTAAAAATGTGCCATGGAACCCATAAGGCATTCGCACAGGTACCGCTGCTCTGCCTAGTTCTTCAAAGGTCCTGGCATCCAACACAAGGAGAAAATTGCTTTCATTCTAGAAAAGAAAAAACAAGACTGAAAATGCCTTCCTTTTTTCATCAAAAGTCAGTCTGTCTCAAATCTTTGCAAATAGGGAAGGGTAGAGGGGGTGAAGGGAGGGCAGGGGAAGGGGAAAAAAAAATAAGAACCAAGATACCCATGTAATGGTACAAAGATCCCAATGATGTATGTAAATGTATTTTATACCTAAAATGTACCAATAAAACTTAATGGGGGAAAAAATTAAAAATTAAAAATTAAAAATTTTTTTAAAAAATCAGTCTGCCTCTTCCACCATGCTAAAGAAGAGACTGTATTTTATTCATTTTTATATCTATCCCTAGGTGCAGTGCCTTCTCTATGCACTCAGTAAATGTTTGCTGAATTGCTGAATGGTTTCCAAAGGAAATAATGACTGAACTTCACACCTAAAGTGAAGAAATTAAGTGAATTATACCAATCACCTTTATGGGTTCTCTTTGAGTCTAATGATCTCTTTACTTGCCCCTTCACAATCTCCTAGGAGACATGGAAATTCTTTCTTCCAAATTAGAAATGCCTCCATTTTGTGTTACTATGGAGCTGCTGAAAGTGAAGCATTGCAAAGCAGACTGACATTTGCCCTGATTTAATTACAAGAGTGCCAAGTGCATGGCATGAAGACTAAGCCCATGACAGACATCATTAATTGATCACAGCACTTTACCCACCAAATCATTTAAAGAGCTCAGGATCCTGAACCCTAAGTAGCCACTAATAATTAATTAAAGCTGGTATTTGAAGTGAACCTATCTGTCACAAGATTGCCCCAGACAAGAAGTCAGTTAGTGAGCAACACTATTGAGACATGCGGCCAGAGCTTATGATATTGGACTTTGAGATCAGTTAATTGAAATGGGCGGCACAGATAGTGGTATAAACATTACACAAGAAGCCAGAGATTTAAACACTGGCTTTATCCCTATGAGATCTGATACAAGTGTGCTTCAACCTCTTTAATTTATAAATTCCATATTTGTAAAATTGTATCCCACAAAGTTGTTTTAAGGACTAAGGTAATAAGTATGGAAGTGTTTTGTAAATGACAGATTTCTATGCAAATGTAAATTATTATTATAATTCTGCAAATAGAACTTTAAAACAATAATGAGGTATGGATTGTGATAAAAGGATACATAAACAGCAAGAAGAGGAAGAGAAGGGAGAAACTGCCATATAAGAACAAACTATGGACTGCATCACTAAATATCACCTTCAAATGACTTAATGCTACTTTTTTCTGACTAGTGACAGAGAAATACTTTTACCTGGTTGGAAGTGATCACAACAGAAAGAATAACCCCACCATCTTCTTTATTTGTTCCTGGTACTGGAACAAAAATAGGTTCTGAAGGATAAAAGCCATCTTCTCTCCAAACCTGCAAAAACACCCCCACACAAAGTATTTGATAAAAGGCTAGTTGTGATGGGAAAGCTTTCTATAGTTTTTGCCACTCAAAAATGAATTTGTATATCAATAGAATATTGCAACAATTAAAAAATTAGGCTTGCTGAGTTGAATTGAGAGAGAGAGAAAGCCAAAGAGATTTGGCAGCCCCCAAATTCCATCAATGGAATCCATTTCCCATTAACCTGAAATAGAGGTGTCCCAATAACCTCAGCCTCACAATTTCTCCTAGGATAATATCAAGCTTAGAATTATTTTTCCAGTCTTAGGTTTCTTTTAGATTCCCTAGAGGAACATACTCCTAACTTAGGTGATTCTATGGTTCTCAAACTTAAATGATTGAGCTACACCTTAAAACGAAAACTAATTTAAAGGGTAGAATAGGTTTTTGAAAAAGTTCAGAAAAGGAAGAAGGTTTTCATTACCTTCAGTGTCTTGTTCACCATATCAACCTTGATCAGAGAATCCCCCACTAAATGCCGAAAGCCACAACCATAAAAGAAACGATACTTTTTGCTACTGAATTGCCCATAGTTGATCTGGGGAAATTCAATGCCTCCTTCCTCCTCTAGGTCTTCATGATGTAAATTTTCATGGACACACCAGATCTAAAAGAGATCCCAAAAGTATCTGAAGAGATTGCTTAATTCTCTTAATTCTTCAGTGTAGGTTAGTGAGGGATCAAATACAGTATAAGTTTGTGAATGGCTTGGAATCTAAAGTTATGTTATCATTTTTATATTGTTCTGATTTCCATTATGAGAATAAATGCATATAATATCACTGGGTTTTGTGAATAAGATGTCAAATGGCATAGGAGATGGAAGTGGCATTTTATTCTACTAAAGTTAAGGCATTGATAGCTGCACAAGGATATGCCTGCAGTAAGCACAACTGATCTTGAAGGCAGGAATAGTCAATGCCAATCTCAAATGCTTAGACATTTCATAACCATTAGAAAGTTGCAAATGTCTGTTTCAAAACACAAAAAGGATAGTCACACAGTGTTCAATCCCACCAAGTTTCTGTGATTTGTATGCAAGCAAGGTTCCATGACCTTACCCTGCTCAGCTGAATGTTATAAAACCAACTGGGCACCAACATTGTGGAGAATACCCAAAGAATAAAGTAACATCACCAAAGCTTAAAGTTTTCTTTTTGCTTTGTTTCGTTTTGTTTTGTTTTGTGGAACCAGAAATGAAACTCAGGTCCTTGTGCTTGCCTGGCTTACCTTTCCATCAGCCTGCTTCACAGCACTGGCTGAAGAATAGGACAATGGACTGAGGTTCTCTCCCTCAACAGCATTCACACTGACATCTAAGGGCAAAACAAACCTTCGAGGAAAAGATCTGGCTACTGAATTATAGACCTGTTCAGAAGAAACAAACAGATGAAAAAAATTTCACTCATAGGGTAAGAGTACATCTCAACAACCTACTCAATCAACATTATAGGCAGTTCTAAGTAATTACATAAATGATAATTTCCATTCATTCAGTAAGTCATTGTTGAGTATCTCACATAGGCTAAGCACTGTTTTATTTATTTATTGAGCTGGATATTTTTTGTCAATGCAAGTGTTATCCCAATGGCCCACATTCCATCCTTAAATGCTGTTTTAGACACTGGAGAAATAGTGGTGATAAAACAGTCATGGGCCTTGTGGAATTCTATATTGTAGCAGTGGAGTAAAAAATCAGATAATACGTTATTTAATTTGCATAAAATAAATGTTTATATAGCCAAAGGCCTGAGTGACTAGAAAGTAACAAGGGATGCTCCTTTCTTTGGGTTTAGTCAGGGTAGACCTCTATGCATAAAAGAGTCAATCTACCAGGTTTGTATTGCTCACATCCTGCACAGTGTTGAGAAAGACCTGTTTTCAGACTGATCCTTGGCTAGGAATTGAGTTCTTGGGATGTTTTGTTTGATAAGAGTGCTTTTGTATGTGTGAGTCCTTGAATCACACTGTACTAGTTTTTCTAGATAGTTTATGCTAACAAGGTAATTTATAATGAACACTTGAATTCTGCTGTGTATCTAGAACTTCAATCACTATGGTTAATCATGCAGGGGATATATGCCTACATAACATCCCCTCAAAAATGCTGGATAACCAGGCTTGTGTGAGTTTTACCCAGGTTGTTATGAGTAGTTCCAGGAGGAATTACGTCCTGTGCAATTCTACTGAGAAACAAATCATGTTGCCTTCAGACTTCATCTCATATATCTTTTCCTTTTGCTAATTTTTCTTTGTATCCTTTTGCTGTGATCAGAACTATGAACATGTGCTGAACCCTCTGAGTTCCCTAAGGGATCACTGTAGCTAAGGATGACCCTGGGAGTCCTCAACATAGAACTACTCTGGTAACTCACTTGTCCTGTTTTTCTACACCTCTAAACCTCCTCCCAAATCCACCCACAATTTGGCATCTAAAGTAATTCTTTAAGGGCTTCTTCAAGCAGCTGGGAAGGGAGATGAACCCCCAATACAGCCTGTCTGTAGAGATAATGTTTAAACAGCAGACTCAAACAAAACAGGTGCACCTAACGACCCCATGGACAGCAGCAAGACTGAGAACTCAATATTTGGTCTTTCTGGTCTCTAAATAGATATATATCCTGTATCTTGTAAGACTCAGCCTCACTATGCTGCTGGATTCCAGAGCAACACATCTTTGAGCAAACAAATTTACAGCCTCACACATGATGCATCAAGGTGCCAAATCCAAGCAGAATCTACATTTTTCTTCCCCTTAGCACAGCATAGCAGAGGCATCAACTAACCAACCACCCAGATTCTAGACAAGGACCATGTCTGGGGAGAGAAAGTAAGCCTGGAAGCCCAGCAGACCCAGAGAGAAAGTATAGACATGGCCAGCAGCCTCAGAGATTCAGATGTTATCCTTCCAAAGTGATTGGGCAAGAGACAACTAAGGGAGACCACCGTAGAAAGGGCACAGGTTAGATATTGACTCCCTAAGATGCTTAAGCTCAGGTTGGGACAAATATGAGCCCTGCCCTCCGCAGTGAGAAACCAGACCTGGTTGAGTGTTGACATTAAGTCCAATAATCTGCTTGAACTTCCACCTAGCAGCCTACGTCCATCAGAGACCAGAAGGCTGATCGTTTTCCCATCTCCCAACGTGAGGAAGGACATGCGTTGAGTTGGACAGTTGCCACAGTCTAGGGTATACAGAAAGAGGGACCTCTGGTCCAGGGAGGTCATGTCACAAGCCCACAGGCTCTAAAGCTAGACAAAGAAAGTTGTGACTTCCTGGATTCAAATACTGCAGGTCCTGGAAAGAAACCACTCATTCAAAAACACAAAGAATTTTTTTTACTTTTTATCATTTTTCTTTTTCTTTTGTTGGTTTGTTTGCTGGGGATATTTTTCTCCCTTTTTTTCTTTTTCTTTTCCATTTTCAACTTTTTCTTCCTTATCTTTCTGTTACTTTCTGCATTTTGCTTTCTGTTTTTATTTTTATTTTTTCTTGTTCATTATTTTCTATGACTCTTTTCTAATACTATTAATTTCCTTTTATTCCTCAAGATGATCCCTTATTTCACTTTTCTTTCCTCCTTCTCATCTTCCATTGATGAATTTTTCAAATTTTACTTTTCCATTCTCTGGCTCTTCAACCCCTCTACACTTAACTAATAAAACTATTAAGCTTTATGATTTTTTAAAAAACTAGTTAACTCTATGCTTTTACTGTTAAATACTATTCTATTGTGGAGGTAAAGTTGTTCCATTTTAGTAGATATTTACTGTAGGTCAATATTTGGTTTGTCTTAGTGTTTATAGTATAATTTTATAAATCTCTTTTCTATGGTTAAGGGTGATACATTATTGGTTCGTAGGGGATGTCAATACCCAGGTTGTCTTTGACACTATTATTGTGGGTGATTTTCTTACCATAGCCAAGGTGGAATAGTTGTTGCTATTAATTGGTTTTCTCTGGATGCCAATATCTGGATTGCCTTTGTGTCATTAACAATACTGCAGTACATTCCCAGAACTAGGTACAGGGTCAAATATACTGCACTCTTCCCTACCAAATAAACAGAAAAGATTGGCTCCTGTGACAGAGGCAAAGGCCAATAGTCAGCCAGGTCCAGAGAGCATTGCTGAAAAGCAGACATTAGCTAAAGAGATCTCTATACAAGCAACAAACCTTTCCAGGGTAATCAGCCCACAAGCCTCAGCACAAAAAAAGAAGAAAGAGGGGCCAGGGATTTGGTTCAGTGGTTCCGCTGGGTGCCCCACAAGCACAAGGACCTGAGTTCGATCCCCAGTACCAAAACAAAGAAGAAAGAAAGAAAAAGAAACACAGAAGGCATGGCAAACAAAATGCCTCCGAAAGATCTCAACTTCCAAAAGCCGATCTGTGGGGCATTGAAAGGGAGGAAATCAAAAACCACACAGCTAAATTATTCAAAAGGATAACAGAAGAGATAACGAAACATATCAATATGGTGCTTGGTAATAATGTGTAAAAAGATAATGGGCCTAATAAAAAAAATGACCAGCAAATATACAAAAGACACTGAAAAAAAGCTACCTAGGCTAAACAAAATTATACAAAACGTGAATGACCAGCAGAGAAAATAGAGTACATAAAAAGGTACCAAACACAAATTCAGGAGATAAAAAATTCTTTCAAAAGTGTGGGAGACAGAAGTGACCAACGTGAGAACAGTGTCAGAACTAGAAAATAAGGCTATTGTCAGCGACCAATTAATGAGAGATATCTGAAAAACAAGAAGAGAACAGGAGTGCTTGGTGCACATTCCTGTAATCCAGCACTCTGGAGGCTGAGGTAGGAAGAGCGCTGTGAGCTGGCGAGCAACCTGGGCTACGGTGAATCTAAGACCAACCTGAACTGCATAATAGCAAGACCCTGTACTTAAAAAAAAAAAAAAAAATGTAGTAATCTAGGAGTAAAAGTGAACTTCCCTAATCTAATAAAATGTATCTTTAAAAAATAATTTATGTCCCCTCACAAGCTGCACACAAATGTTTATAACAGTTTCATTGATAATCACCATAATTTGTAAGCAACAAAGATGTATAGTAAGTGAATGGATATTCAACTGTAGTACATCCACACACAAGAAAATTACTCAGCGATAAAATAAATGAGCCATCCAGACACAAAAAGACATGGAGGAGTTTCAAATGTATATTGCTTTAAAAAGTCAGTCTGAAGAACATACATAACCATAAGATTCCATTTATATGACATTCTGAAATAGGCAAAGCTATAGAAATAGTAAAAAGATTATTTAACACAAAGAGTAAGCCCTAACATAAACTATGAACTTTAGTTAATAAAAGTAGATCAATATTGGTTCATCAATTATGACAAATGATCCATAAAAGTATGTTATTAACAGATAAAACTTGGGAGGGATGTGGAAACTCTCCATACTTTCTGCTTGCTTTTTTCTTTAAACTTAAAACTTCTGTATAACACAGTCTATTAATTTATTACCATAAAGCAAATGACATGCTTAATGGTAAAACATCAAAAGCTTTTCCTCTTAAATTGGGAACCAGATAAAGATGTCACTATCCCCACTTATATTCAACACTGTACTGGAGAGCCAACAACACAAGACAAGGAAAAGAAAACTCCTAAGCACTTAGAAAGGATGAAAAGAAACTGTCCCATTATTTGCAGTTGAATATCGCTCTGGAAAATCTGAATCTCTAAATTATTAGAATTTGTAAGGGCAACTATATTAGTGAATACAAGATCAACAAAAGTCAACTGTTAAACATCATACCAATATATACACTGATATAAGACGAAAATAAAAGATAAATAACATTTAAAATAGCCGGGGATTTAGCTCAGTGGTTCCGCCTCCTGCCTTGCAAGCACAAGGTCCCAAGTTCGATCCCCAGTACCAAAAAAAAAAAAGGGGCAAACATTTAAAATAATTTCAAAATATCAAATATTTATAAATAAATCTAATAAAATGTATGTAAACATATACTTAGAAGGCTATAAATATTGAAAAAATGAAGTCTTTAATAAGTAGAAAAATATATATTCTCAGTCTTCTGTATTCCCATAAATTTTTGAATCAACTTGTCAGTTTTTACAAAGAAAATAAAATTCTGTTGTCATGTTGCAAGAACAGACCAATATGGAGATAATTGACATTTGATAACTGATAATTGATAAGTACTCTAAAAATATATATATTCTTCCATTTATTGCATTGTTTAATGTTTATAGCCTTCTGAGTATATGTTTACATACATTTTAATAGATTTATTTGTAAGTATTTAAGTCTTAGCTAGTACAATAAGGTAAGAAAAGGCCTGGAGATTTAGCTCAGTGGTGTTGCCACCTGCCTCACAAGCACAAGGTTCTGAGTTTGATCCCCAGTACCAAAAAAAAAAAAAAGTAAGAAAAATAAAGAATAGGCACAATTATTAGAAAGAAAGAAAAGTATTATTTTCAGATAATATGACTGCACAAAGAAATTCCAAAGTAATCTATAACTTAATTATTTAAATTAATAAGTTAACTTAGCAAGATTCCTGGATATGAAATCAGTACATAAGATGAATTACATTTCTATATATTAAGAAAAACATAAAATGAAAGCTGAAAAGATACCATTTACAACTATTTTAAAATACACAAAATGCCTAGAAATAAACTGAGTGAAAGATATGTCATATCTTTACATTGAAAAGTATAACATTACTGAAAAAAACTAAAGAAGACTCAAATGGAGGAATATTCCACATTTACAGATTGAAAAACTAATATTGCAAAGATACCAATTATCTTCATATTGGTCTATACTTGCAACATGACCCCAACAGAATTTTATTTTCTTTGTAAAGACTGACAAGTTGATTCAAAAATTTATGGGAAAGCAGAAGACCAAGGAAAACCCAGGCAATCTTAAAATACAAAACAGCTAAAAAACTAAAACTATAGATATTAAGACACACCAAAAAGCTATAAGTGAACTTAGTAAGTATAGGTAAACTGAAAAAGAACAGTACTCTAAAAAAATTTTTTAAATAAGATTATAGTATCTGGTCATGGTGGCACATGCCTGTAATCCCAGCATGTGGAAGGCTGAGGCAGGAGGACTGCCACAAGTTTAAGCCCAGCCCTGGGATACATAATGAGTTCAAGGTCAGTCTGAACTACATAGTAAGACCCTCTCAAAAAAACAAAAAGGGAAAAAATAAGATGACAGTTGAAAAATAGCCAGATGTGGTGGCACATGCCTATAATCCCAGCACTTGGGAGGCTGAGGCAAGAAGATCAGCATGAGTTGGAGGCCAGCCTAGACTACATAGCAACACCCTGTCTCAAAAAAGAGTATAGCTGAAAAATAAAACTACAGATGAGTCCAACTTATATTACATAATACAAGAAAAAATTTTATTTCACATTCAATATCAGGAAAAAGTAAATCCCTTTAGCTAAATGAACAAATATACCCACCGGTAATCCATTTTGCTATTCCTTCCAGGAAACAAGTACAGTATGTTTAGTGCTTAAGTGTAATCAGAACTAATCACAACTGCTTCAGAAATGTATCTTCATTGTCTTCACTATGTTTTTTATTTATTAGACATTCAAATTATTTCTAAATATTTTTGGTACACATACATATGAATCTCAATCCTTTTTACTTCCTCTTCCCTTCCCTCACATCTCCCCCCACCCCAAACCCATTTCCCATCTCCACAAAGTCTATCTTCCTGTTTCCCATCATCTTTATTTTGCTATCTAAATTATTTATACTTTGGGCTTCTCATATAAGACAAATCATGCAATATTTAACTTTCTATATCTGATTTATTTCACTTAGCATTATGGTCTCAAGGTGCATCCATTTTCCTCAATAACTCAAATTTATCCCTTTTATGACTGAATAGTACATTATATATATATAATATATATTATATATATATATTCTTTATCCATTGATCTGTTGAGGGAGATGTAGGCCACTTCTAAGATTTAGCTATTGTGAGTTGTTCTCCTACAACTATGAGTATGCATATTATCACTGTAATATGATGATGAACTTTTTCTTTCATGCTTTAAAACTTTTCTCCCTCCTTATTTGCCAAAAGGGGGCAAAAGCAACAGATAATTCCAAAGCTAAAGTCAGATCTTGACTGGTTCAAAGTTACTTTAACAACTCTCTACAAATCAGAGATATTTACCTGATCAAGCCCTTCCCCAGATTTTCTGAGATTCTGTAGTTGGTAAACATCTAGGCTTCTTCCATCTTCTTGACAACACAAATCAATTACAATACAGCCCTGGTCCTCAAAAGCATTGATTTGATGAAAAGTAACAAAAGGTTTGCTGTAATACATCCCTGGAAGAATCTGCAGGGGAAAATAAAAACAATGAAAAGAAGACATTTGCCTTTTTTTTTTTCCCCTTCAGGGAACAGACCTACAAAGCTCAAATTAAGAGGGTATCCCCACCCTTACTTGGTATACCCAGTAGGTGTAAGAGAAGTAGAATCCAAAACATAGAGGCAAATACCCTCTGATTTAAGTACTGCTTGCTTAAGTCATCTCATTTCATATTAATTAACAAACTGAGGCTATTTTATATAGGTCAATCAACTGTTACAACTAATTTAGAAGTCTTTATGAAACACGGTTCAAAAGGAAAAATAAACCCTAGACAGTAACTACATGGTTAAAGAGAAAGTGCTGTCATTTAGTACATGATATAAGTGGTTAATTCTTTGAAAAGTACACTCATTACTAAAATTTTTTGTAATTAAATTCAGGTAAATTTAGAATACTATCCTCTTAGATAAAACGAACACAGACAAAATAGTACTATTATTAATCAGAAGTATAAAAAGACAATCAACCAACATGCTTAGACTTTGGTGGGATTATCATACTGACATACCAGCAAGTCACAGGAGCAATTAACTTATCAATGCAAATGTTACAGATCTGTGCATGACAACATCCTCTTTTGTAACTATCACAAGATGGAAGAACCTATAATAAGAGAGATTCCTAGATGCCATTTTAATTCAATCAGGTAATTAAATGAATAAAATAATTCCTAAAATTATCTAATATGCATCATCTACCATGCTAATATACTGTCTACAGGTAGCCCAACCCAACAAAGAAGTCAATATACTTAATTAAGAATGTCTTTTAAATAATATCCAGTGAAGATTTTTTTTAAAAATAGTCATATGGAAATTCATCTCTGAATTTAACCATTTTCAAGATAAATATGTTCAAAACACTCCACCTGTCCAGTGCATTTATTCACCACATGAAACCGTGTATTATACTGGGGTTTCCAGCTTATTCCATCTGAAAAAGCCTTTCCCCGAATTTTAGAAGTGATAATTTTCCACAGCTTCATTTTGAGAGGCTGTTCAATGAAGATTATGTAGTTTCTTGTCATTCCTGAAAGGTTCCAGCAAACAATAAAAGGTTATTTGGTTTGAAATGCCACCATCACAGAGCCTGACTGAATGCCTGGACAAATTACTACTGACTTCAAAAAAGGCCAGCCAGAGATACCTCACCATTTCCCAGCTTTGCTATACATATTTCCTATTCCTACATTAAAAAGAAACTGCTAAGAATAGCTTGGGTTGAATGTCCTTGGCTTACTTTTTATCTTTTTTTTTCTTTTTAAATTACTTTGATTTTGGAACAAAGAAATGAAGTACATTAAAATGTCATTTATGATTTGTACATTTATTCCCTCATCTTTTCTTATTTATCCTCATGTTAAGGACCTAGAAGCAATTTGGCTATAACAATTTAAAATACAGAAAATAGGGCTGGGGATTTAGCTCAGTGGTTCTGGCGCCTGACTTGTAAACTCAAGGTCCCAAATTCAATCCCCAGTACCAAAAAAAAAAAAAAAAGAAAGAAAGAAAGTAAAATACCGAAAATAAATATTCTGAGTAAAAGCTAAAGCAATCTATATAAAATATGAAGTCCCCCCTCCACACACACACACACACACACACACACACACTCACACGCACGCACACATAACACAGTCAAGACTTTTTTGTGTATGAGTTAAAGCTTTAAATTGTCTTTTAAAAAAAAATTTTGGTGTTTTCAGACAGAGCCTCCTCATGTAGCCCAAGCTAGTCTCAAAATTTCAATCTTCCTGCCATAGCTTCCCAAACACTAGGATAACAGGTGTACATCATTACACCCAGTTTAAAGTTGCCTAAAATCTTGAGTTCTGTTACTTAATTTTTTAATTAACTGTTTGTACTAAAGCTACTGTTCTTTTCAAGCAGGTAGCTGGCTAGTGTAAGGAGTATATGACTAAACAGAATAACCTTAATTGGCAAGAAACGCAACACTGGTTTCAATATCATGAACTCTGATGTAAACTGTTAATAGCACTTGCCAAAACTAGTCCCCCTGATACAGTAACATTTAGGTAAGGCCCTTTGTAAATTGGTCTTTACTCACCAAAGCTATGGTAGTAGGAAGGCTTCATCTTCTCTGTAGAAGCAATAGAACATATCACCTGGGCTCCATGGATTGTCTCCCCAGGGTCCACCTTCTCTGGAGGAACCCGAATAACGTTATAACAGGAACCTGGAAAACGAAAAGTCCTATCTTTACTGTTTTACCTATAATCTAGAATAGATGACCACCCTTGCCCTTGTGCATTAGGCAAAAGCAGATCCACACAATATGCATGAGGTATTTCACGAAGGGCTATTTCAAACAAAGATTTAGATATAAAAATACATTAACTTTACAAAAGTCATTAGCTAAAGATTCAAAACTAGATACACAAGTAATCAGTCAAGGGTTCGCTGTATTTTAATGCTCTCAAATGGTTACTTCTTCACTCCCTGCAGATGAACCCCATGCCTACTTCATAGGAAAAGACAAGACAGGAGCCAGGAATACTCTCAACTTCTGTTTGTGTCTCTCTTTCCTCTCCATACTTCAACAACTACAGTTCCATTTGCACCCATGTCCAATTCTTTCCTCAAGTTCTCTGGATCCTGACGTTACTCTAGGTCTGATTGCAATCTATCTCATCAACATTCATCCAGTCACTCATGTGGCTATTGCTTACTAGTTCTTCAAGAGTCAAGTCAAGTTTCCATTCCTCAAATAGCCTTTCTTGACTCTTCCTCACCCCAAAAGCATTTGATGAGGGATAGTCATATCCCTCATTATATATTCATTATATCCTACACAGTCTTAACATTTTTCATTATACTCTAATTTTCTGCTTATCTGTTTCCCAGTAGACTATTGAGCTCTTCCAGGATAGGAATTGTGTCTGATTCATCTTTACATTCTCAGTACCAAAAAAAGACTTCGCATTTAGTAGGCACACTATAAATGGCTATCAACGAATTAACTAAAAACATAGATTTGTTAAGCCATTCAACAAATGAATATACATTTAGGTGATATTAAGTTGTCTTCCTGGTACTCGAATTTCTGGTACAGGTAGTGATAAACTTGGGTAATAGAAATTTGAAATTTCCAATTTTCTTTTGGAATAAGATGACAATATAGCTCTCTATTCATCTATTCTGCAAATACTTCTTTTAAAAATTCATGTTTAAGAAATACGTACTGAAAACCCCTACAATGTTTATAACCTCAGATCACAATGGAAAATTAAAAAAATGTGAGTTGTGCTAAAAAAAACAAACAGAAAATCAGCTGTTAAGCATAGTTACAAAAGGACCACAGGGCTGGGGATTTAGCTCAGTGGTGCTGTGCCTGCCTCCCAAGCACAAGCTCCTGAGTTCACTCCTTGGCACTAAAAAAAAAAAAAAGACCACAGAATCACATATTTTAAGCTCAATAATGCCACATTAGATTTTCCTTCTGAAACATTCAAATGAAGTTTCATATGTTTATATCTTAACCATAAAGGGCTCCTACTTATTTCTTTTAAAAACCTCTATTCCAACTTTACCTTGTGGGCCATAGGAGTTTCCCATATTGTATACTGTTCCATCTGGGTCATAATGAGGATGTGCAGTTGCTCCATTCACAGCAATAAATTTTCTCCAATCTACCTGTAAATTTAAGGTTGAGTGATTTTTTAAAAGTTACATGTGCTGGTCTCTATTGACATGCATATAATAGTGAGGACATGTGAAATATTTTTTAAATAAAATATGCAAACTACAGTATATTCTCTAATTTCTTGCCTCTGAGAAATCAAAATTACTTTCCCACCAAATTTTTTAAAAACTGAATTTAAAATCAACACAAAAACAAAAACCTACCACCACACACACACACGCACACACACACACACACACCTGAATAGATTTGTGTAAAACCACAAGCTGGTCCAAAAGAAGCACATGATTTAAAATTAAATTAAAATTTTGATCTGAAATTTTATTTTTAATTAATTTATTAAAGCAGTATAGGTCTAGTGAATCTCTAGTCTAGCACTAATTGTAACTGAGAAGAACATGATTCATCAAGTAAATCAGTACTATTTCATTTTTCCTTTACTCTATTTTTTTTCTCCTTTACTCTAGGCTTCAGATGTTAGGATTAAGGAAGGAGTTTAAAGTTATCTTTAAAGAGACCAACCCCACATAGTCCATTCTAATCAGAACAGAAGATGAAGGTTAACTGAATTAATGGATAATTTTATCTTTATGTGGTTAAGGTTCTTCAGATATTTGCTATTTTAAAAAAGTACTCTGAATGGGAAGAAATTTTAGGATCTATTTTATTCATTTTTAACTATATATTACCTTTTCTGTTCTTTCCAAAGTTTCAATGTCCACTTTGTTCATAAAATTGGTCTCAGTGCTCATGTAGTAATCATCCTTGTACTGCACAAAGTTGACATTGGTATTGTCAGTCATAGCTAAAACCAACCATCAGAGTTATTTTAGTACCAGAGCTTATGGTAGCACACCCGAAGCACATATTCAGAGAGTTTCAATATCCTCTGACATTAAAAAAAATAAATGTTTTTCTGGGTACGTTAAAGGCTGCTTACCAGGCATCTCAAACTTTGACATGAAACGTTCAAAAATATTCTTGCATGGGTCAGGAAGAGCCAGTGTGCCAAATTCTGAGATTACAATTCTATTGTGAGCACTATTGGTCTTATACGTATCACTCTGTAGAAATTTGCTCCTATATGTAACTGTACCCTTCTCTATCCTGAACTGGTGAAGCAAAGCCATTCCATCAAACCAGTGACTATACCTGCAAACCAGGAAAAAAGGGGGAAAAACTCATATCAGTAAGAAAAGCATAAGTCAGAATAAGAAATAAAGTGACCTATGTGTATTTCAAAAATAGCAGAGTGGTAAGTGACAACTCACCCTTTCTGAGATTCAGAATCCAGACACTGAAAAATAACAATGTAGAGAAGAAAAAAAGAGAGAAGTAGATCCCCAAGAACAAGAAAGATATGACAGGAAATTAAAACGTATAGAGAAATTAAAGAGATAAAACACAATGCAGAGAGGCTGGGGATTTAGTTCAGTGGCGCCGCACCTGCCTCGCAAGCACAAGGTCGTGAGGTCAATCCCCAGTTCCTAAAAATAAACACACACACACACACACACACACACACACAATGTAGAGAAGGGAAGGGACAGTCTGCACTTTCTCCCCAGGGCCCAGATCATAGCTGTCAGGAAAGGGAAACAAAAACTACAGAGACTACAGAGACAAAGTGAAAGCTGGGGACTCAGAGGGCTTCAGGGAGAAATGTAGTGGTGGAATGGACCAGTGGGTGCTGTGATCTGCAGGAAGACCACGGGATTCTGCTCCCACATGAGTCCTTGACAGCTAACAGCTGGTGAGTGACTCCAGTCCAAGCACCTGTCATATTCCTAGAGAGTGCTTGGTTGGACACCATTTTGGGGAGGAGTTTACTGAACCTGAGACTCAGAGCAGCTGCAGGATGGGCTCCCATTGTTATATTCCCACAGTGACTGGGTGAGAGACAGCCATAGGAGACAGCTGTGGCCAGGGAGCAGGCTGGAAAGAGAACTCCAACAGGTTTGAGCTAAAGAACACAGGCCCTGCCCCCACAGCTAGAGGCCAGGCCCAGCCTGAGTTGCTCTGGGTTTGAAAGTCATGGCATTGGTGCCTTTGCCCTTATTCTTCTGCCTGTTGTTGCCTGCATCCAGCACAGGTCTGGGGTCTGACTATCTTCTTTATCAACCAGCATGACCAGGGACATTCCTTGACTTGGACACTGCCCCAGAACTGTAGATCCTGGAAGAAAACCACACAATCAAAATCACAGTTTTTGTTGTTGTTTTTGTTTTTTAGTGAGTGTGTCAATTGTTTGGGGGGATTTTTTTTTTTTTATTCTTTCCTTTTCTTTTCTCTACTTCACCAGTTTATTGGGGCTTGGAGAATTTTCCTTTGTCCTTTTTCCTTGATTCTTATCTCTTTTTCTTACTTTTTTTTAGTTTTGTGTTTGTTGTTACTGTGTTTTGTTTTTTGAGACAAGGTCTCATTATGTAGTTCAGGCTTGCCTTGAACTATGTAGCCCAGGCTGGTCTCAAACTCATGGTGGTCCTCCTGCCTCAGCTTGCCATGTGCTGGGATTGCAAGTGTGCACCACCATGTCCAGCACTTCTTTTCTTTATTTTTTCCTCTTTTCCTTTTGATTTTTTTTCAGTACCAGGAATCGAACTCAGGACCTTGCACTTACCAGGCACCCACAACATTGCCGAGCTACATCCCTGGTCCAGAAGCATGTTTTCAATTAAATCATTGACTTAAAAAAATTAATTGAAGGGCCGGGGATGTAGCTCAGTGGTTTTGCCGCCTGCTGCGCAAGCGCAAGGACCCGAGTTCAATCCCCAGAACCAAAAAAAATTGAAGAAACACCCTCAGCATGTCACCACTATGTCTGCATGTAGATGTAGATGTATCTGTTAAATGTCATTTAACAGTGTGATCAGAGCTTCACAGTTGTGTGAGGCAATTCTTACCCACAGGTGAAGGGCTACTCAGCACTTCTCTAGATCTCTACCCCTCCCTTTATTTTTATTTATTTATTTATTTATTCATTTATTTATTTTTGGTACCAGGGATCGAACTTGG